TTAACAATGTAAGTACTATGCTTTCTCAACAGGCCAGAACGGACCATCCTCTGTTTCAATTATATCAAATTTTGCTGAAGGCCTCTCTACCTCATGCTCCGCACTTCATGGTAAAATGGAAATAAGAACAAAAAATTACACCTGAGGACATTGATTGGGAACAAATACTGGTATTTACCCATAAGACCTCTGTATCCTTGAGAGCCCAGGGGCCCATTTAGAAAATTCTTACCAGATGGTATCGATGTCCAACCACCTTTCATGCCATGGACCGGTCCACCCCTAAAACATGCTGGAGATGTTTGCAGGCCCTGGGCACCATGACACACATATGGAGTACCTGTCCTCGTATAACTCCTTTCTGAGACAAAATACTCCACTCCTGCTTTGACTTAGTGGGATATAGAATTACCAACTCTTATCTCATTACTTTGCTATTGATGATGCCCAGATCCTATAAACAAAATAAGAAAAGCCTCCTCCGTCATTTTTTTTGACTGCTGCACTGCTGTGATTGCCAGGGCTTGGACTCAAACAGTTGCTCCTTCTTTTGCTGTTTGCACCTGTGAAATGGATTCCATCTGTCACATAGAAAATTGAGTCTCCTGGAAAACAGGGAAAACGGAAGATTGTACCTTCACATTGTCAGCTTAGAGTTATTTCTTCAACATTTACCTCATATGTATGATGTAGGGCTCTAATGTCTTCCAGTCTCATCTAGATTAGTCACTCTGGCTTAGCTCCGACATAGTGCTCAGGTCCAAAGCTCTCCCATCTCCCCCTTTTTTTTTTTCCTCTTGCCCCCTCTTTATTTTATTTCATACTGCACACCTGTTCTCTCTCCTCTATAGGTTATTTGCATATTGATGCTCTCCGAATGTCTGTATACTAATTATGTAGATTTCATGTGTCACTTTACTGGTTGCCACATAGGTATGACTACATAAATGATGGAATTGATATTCATGCCATTCATGATATTGGCAGATGGTCTTATATACCGTATATACTCGAGTATAAGCCGAGTTTTTCAGCATATTTTTTGTGCTGAAAAACGGCCCCCTCGGCTTATACTCGAGTCAACGTCTGCAGGGGGCTGCTGTCTCTTACCTGGCTCCGGTCCCACGGCGATCCGGTCCAGGAAGCGCTGCTGCTCCTTCATTCGGTTCATCCACTGGATGTTCGCGCGGCTGCTCGGCTCTGCCTTCTCACCGGTGATTGGCCGCCAGAACTGTAGCTCAGGAAAGGCACACAGGCGGCCAATCACCGGCGAGGAGGCGGAGCTGAGCGGCCCCGCGAAAATCGAGTGAAGGAGATGCAGGTAAGTGTGCCGTGCTTAGGTGCTGCTGCAACCACATATGCTGGCTGCAGCAGCACCATACTGGAACAGGGGTCAGCAAGTGTCAGTGGGAGGAATAGTGCCCCATCATTGGTGTCACTGATACCAATGATGGGGCATTATTCCTCCCACTGACACCAACGATGGGGCACTTTTCCTCCCCCCACTGACACCAACGATTGGGCACTATTCCTCTCCCCCCCACTGACACCAATGATGGGGCACTATTCCACCCCCCACTGACACCAATCATGGAGCACTATTCCACCCCCCACTGACACCAATCATGGGATACTATTCCTCCCCCCCACTGACACCAACGATGGGGCACTTTTCCTCCCCCCCACTGACACCAACGATGGGGCACTATTCCTCCACCCCCCCCACTGACACCAATGATGGGATACTATTCCTCCCACTGACACCAATGTTGGGACACTATTCCTCCCACTGACACCAATGATGGGACACTATTCCTCCCACTGACACCAAAGATGGGGCACTATTCCACTGACACCAATAATGGGGTGCTATTCCCCCCACTGATACCAATGATGGGGCATTATTCCTCCCACTGACACCAACGATGGGGCACTTTTCCTCCCCCCACTGACACCAACGATTGGGCACTATTCCTCCCCCCCCCACTGACACCAATGATGGGGCACTATTCCACCCCCCACTTACACCAATCATGGAGCACTATTCCACCCCCCACTGACACCAATCATGGGATACTATTCCTCCCCCCCACTGACACCAACGATGGGGCACTTTTCCTCCCCCCCCACTGACACCAACGATGGGGCACTATTCCACCCCCCCACTGACACCAATGATGGGATACTATTCCTCCCACTGACACCAATGTTGGGACACTATTCCTCCCACTGACACCAATGATGGGACACTATTCCTCCCACTGACACCAAAGATGGGGCACTATTCCACTGACACCAATAATGGGGTGCTATTCCCCCCACTGATACTAATGATGGGGCACTATTCCTGCCACTGATACCAATGATGGGGCACTATTCCTCCCACTGACACCAATGATGGGGCGCTATTCCTCCCACTGACACCAATGATGGGGCGCTATTCCTCCCACTGACACCAATGATGGGGCACTATTCCTCCCACTGACACCAATGATGAGGCACTATTCCTCCCACTGACACCAATGATGGGGCACTATTCCTCCCACTGACACCAATGATGGGGCACTATTCCTCCCACTGATACCAATGATGGGGCACTATTCCTCCCACTGATACCAATGATGGGGCACTATTCCTCCCACTGATACCAATGATGGGGCACTATTCCTCCCACTGACACCAATGATGGGTCACTATTCCTCCCACTGACACCAATGATGGGGCACTATTCCTCCCACTGACACCAATGATGAGGCACGATTCTTCCCACTGGTGTTCTCACCCTTGGCTTATACTCGAGTCAATAGTTTTTCCCAGTTTTTTGTGGTAAAATTAGGTACCTCGGCTTATATTCGGGTCGGCTTATACTCGAGTATATACGGTACTTGGTTTCATATTGTTTCTACATTGCAATCTTACTACTGCCACTAACGCATTGAGTTTTTCACCTTAAGTGGTACATACTCTCTTTCTGTATTGGTATGGGTTTATGCCCTTTCTCTTACTATCTGACACCAGCATTTTATGTGTATCTCTTGTAATATACTAGTGATACAAAGTGCATTTTCTTTGCTGCACAGTACATTTGTTGCTTTGTTTGCTTGAGTAATCTTCGAAAACTCAATAAAACAGATTAGACATATGTAAATACATACCTCACTATTTAATTTGCAGATTATTTGCTGATTTTGTTATTCATATGTGTGTTTTGTATACTGTATTTCTATATAACAGATATATCATATGTCCCTATAGGGATCCTGCTACAAGATGTAATTTTATCTTTGAGCTAAGAAAATTTAGATCCTAAATTCATCCATTTTTTCTTTAAAAAATGTTGAACTGTTAAATTTAGAAGCTTTATAAGTTCCACACTTAAGATTGTCTCAGATTCCTGTGCATATCCTTCACAGTCACAACCCCTCCTACTTCCTTCACTACTTCATCACATTCTTCTATTTCTGTGCTACTCTACATTGTCTATTATACTTTCTATCAATACTTATAATTTCAAGAGTACAAAACATTTTTAAGAAAATTAAGGGAAATTATGTAAGTAGTATTTGGGATAAACTGTTTCAGTGCTAAAAATTATATTAAACCCTCAGTTTTTAAACACTTTTGCAGTTGATTTAACCACTTACTGAGTAGACTGCTTCTTTCTCCTTTAATCCTTGCCTATGTTCCAATTTAAGTTGTTGATATGACCGCTGCCCTAGGATTTCTGTTCTAGGGTGGCTCATTTTTCTTATAGCATCATATGGTATCTCACTTGCATACAGGGACTTACGTCTCCCTACACTCTGTGTGTCACACAGCCCAGTTTCATAGGATGGCAAAGCTCTGCTCTCTTCCTTCCTCCTCCTCCTCTCTTCCCCTTTCCAAATTAAGAGACTATCCAAAGACTGCACTTTCCATAGGACTTGCTTCTGATAAACTACTTGGCCAGTGTAGAGTTTGTAGTCACTGGGGGATCTATTAAGGTAGAACTAAACCCTTACTGAATGTAATGAAGGGAACAAATTGTTTTTCTTGGAGAATTTGAGGTGAATGATTTTGCTTTTTCTATCCTTCATTAAATTCTAATGTTGCAGATATCCTGTAGCCTTTTTACAATCTGTCCCTGTCTGTTGTCCACATGTACTACAGTGATAACAGGCTGCATGTTTTGTCTTAGGGCATATTTTTCCACTTGCCATTTTTAAAAATGGTGACCATAGTGGAATATGGCTGAGCAATGTACATCAGTGCAGCAGCTTATAATTTCCTTTGGGAGAGCATGTGACAAGGAGATTTTTAGACAGGAGATTGTAGGAGACAGGGTTAGGAACATTTTAAAGGCCTGGTTCATAACTATGTGGGTTTGCGGCTTGTGTTTGCATGGATACAACAGCCTATTCATTTGCCTGTGCTTCCAGTCAGAAAAAGTTTCCTGTACCATTCTAAAAACACAGTGGCTTGAAAATTGCATGATGCTTTTGCACCATGTGACTTACCTGCAGTTCCCACACCAAAAAACACACTGCAGTTTTAGATGCATGGGGATGCCATTTAGAATGAATAGCAGCCACATGAGTTTTCACACAGCAGTGCATTTTGAACACGAGTGGTTGCGATTGCATCTGCAACCACCCACATAGATGTGAACCAGGCCTAAGCCATAGCATAAAGTGCCCAGACAAATACCTTGATATCAGTGTCATCAACTCTTATTTTTATCAAAGTTAGTGATCAAATTAAAAATAGATTTTCACGTGCTATTATTATGTTAAAACTTAGAAGAGATTGTAGTGGTTTTATGACTACTTAACCAAACTTTAAATCTTTAAATTGCAGAACAGGTCTGTGCACCCAAAAATCTTTTAACCACCTTCCGCCTGCCCGCCCGCCATATAGTGCAATGATGGGCGCAAGGTGGTTCTCTCTTTCTGATAGGATGTCATATGATGTCCTTCCATTCTCACCGCGCATGCGCGGCTGAGGGAGCCGGTGCGCTGTGTCCCTCGGACACAGCGGATCACGGAAAGAGCCGAAGATGTCGGCTCGGTCATGCGATCAGCTGTGTCCAATCATAGCAGATCACATGTAAACACGGAAATGCCGGTTATCAGCATTTCTCTCCTCTTGAGCTGTCACGCTGACAGCTCGAGAGGAGAGGAGAGCCAGTAATCGGCTTTCCACGGAGGGGACATGTACACTGATCATCAGGGCACTGATGATCAGTGTGCCCTGATGATCAGTGTGGCCCCCAGAAGTGCCACCTGTCAGTGTCCATCAGTGCCAGCAGTCAGTGCTCATCAGTGCCACGTGCCAGTGCCCATCAGTGCCACATCAATGCCACATATCAGTGCATCCCAGTGCACATCAATGCCACATATCAGTGCCCATCTGAGCTGCCTTTCAATGTCACCCATCAGTGCCAGTCAGTGCCACCTATCAGTGCCAATCAGTGCCACCTATCAGTGCTGCCAATCAGTGCCACCTATCAGTGCCAGCCAGTGTTACCTATCAGTGCGCATCAATGCCGCCTATCAGTGCCAGTCAGTGCCGCCTATCAGTGCCAGCCAGTGCTTCCTAACAGTGCCAGTCAGTGCCGCCTATCAGTGCCAGTCAGTGTTGCCTTTCAGTGCCATATATCAGTGTCATGTATCAGTGCTGCATGTCAATGCCCATCAGTGCAACCTACCAGTGCCTCCTCATCAGTGCCACCTATCAGTGTCCATCAGTGCAGCCTATCAGTGCCCATCACTGCAGCCTCATTAGTGCACATCAGTGAAGGAGAAAAATCACTTATTTACAAAATTGTATAACAAAAACTAAGAAAAAAAACATTTTTTTTCAAAATTTTCAGTGGTTTTGGTTTAAGAAAAAATAAAAATCCCAGAGGTGATTAAATACCACCAAAAGAAAGCTCTGTCTAAAAAAATGATAAAAATTTCATATGGGTACAATGTTGCATGACTGCGCAATTGTCATTCAAAGTGTGACAGCGCTGAAAGCTGGAAATTGGCCTGGGCAGGAAGGGGGTATAAGTGCCCTGTAGGCAAGCAGTTAAAGAACAAATATCTGCCTGAAACAACTGTTTGATAGCTAAGTTTTCAGTTGTGAACACCTTAGCTAATTTCAATTCATCAGGCAGTTGTTGCTAACAGTCCACTCAAGAGCTGCCTTTTTCACAGAATCTTGCTGTATCCTTTAAAAAATGTAAAAACACTGCACCCAAAGCACAGCCTTGCCTTATCCTTATATACCTAAAAAAAAAATCCAATCTATAGCCCTTAGCCATGGTTTGCTACAACTGGTCAGCAGTATGACAGTATGTAAATGTGACCAGGTAGAAAAGGCTCACATGTGGAAACACAAACATGGCAGGTGTTTTGCTACACTAAAAATTCAAGTGTATAATCTTAGAGAATAAAAAATTTACCAGAAGGGGGGCGCATGCGCGGCCAGCACTGAAGGTGGACGCGTAGTGAATCGGCTCCGTCCACCCGCCAGACACAGACCGGCACACACCGGCCCTGGGACTCAGACACAGCACCGCACCAATCCCTTACCTTACCCGATCCTCTGCAGCTATGCCCAGAAGAAAAAAAAATGGCGGATCAGCCAGGTAAACTGACCCTGTTCTTCCCTGCAGTCGGGCCGGGAATCCAAGATGGCGCCCGCGGCTGCAAAGAGGGAGAGGAAGGCAGAGACCAGCAGGAGGACTACAGATCCCAGCAAAAGGATCCCAGGCTGCAGCACCTGCTCTATCCCGGGGACCCTGGTGAGTTGTCACCCCCCACTATCCCCTACATCACGAAGCCCGGCTAAATCTAAGCCGTGGCTAGAGCAGGATCCCAGCACATTAATGCAGACCCCGGAAACCGCAGCATATACATCAGATATAGATGCATTTCCTGCATCAGATATACCGCTCACAGAAATATGCATGAGAAATATGCTCACATCCCTGCGCCAAACACTGCATACTGATATCCTCACATCACTCAGTCAATTGTCAAATATAGTACAAAACCAGGAGCGCAGAATAAGCCACATTGAGAACAACATGGGAGACGTCGTCATGGCGCACAATAATTTAATTGACGCTCATGCAGGCCACTCTGCTGACATAGAACAAATTAACCAAAAATTGGCCGACCTGGAAGATAGGTCAAGGCGCAACAATATCAAGTTCCGAGGAATACCTGAATTTGTGGCAAACGATGACCTAATCCCATACATACAGCAATTTGCCAAAATCCTCGTGCCATCAGTGTCTGACCTGGAACTTGCAATTGACCGGGCACACCGCTTACCTAAACCCTCCTTTTTACCAGCATCTACACCTAGAGATGTCTTAGCACGCATTCATTTTTACCACGTGAAAGACAAAATCATGTCAGCTGCCCGCAATCCGCCTCCGATCCCGCCGTCACATGCCAATCTCCGCTTATATGCGGATCTATCCAAGGCGACCCTCCTTAACAGAAAACGCATGCTGTCAATCACCAAGGCCCTCAGAAACCACGGCATAGCATACCAATGGGGATTCCCCACCAAACTAATGGTGCGACAAAATGGTAGGGTCTTTACCATCAAAACACTGGAAGCAGGCCTGGATTTGTAAAATCCTGGAATATCATCCCTGCGGAAACGCAGGATCCTACGCATAGTTCTATGGACGCAACATAGCCCTTACAGGGCATACTTTTTTTACCATTCAACATACTTCTCCGCTCTCCCAGGAGCCATTCATACACTTAATTTGTCTGGCGTTTGGCCTACACCCTTCTACTCCGATCAAAGGTTTTTTTTCCTTTTTGCAATTAGCTTGACCACCACCCGGTGATCAAGCTCTCCTGCACCCCCCAGTTTAGAGGTAGCAAACTTGGCTACTCGTGATGTTTGCATTTTTCGCAAATGGTTTTTTATTGTTTCCCCTATCCTCACTACTTCCTTACCCTGGCACCATTGGATATCCACTCCATTCTCTAAGATCATCTACGGCGACACAGATTGGAATACTCTTTTTATCGCTTCAACTGAGTCACATATACGCCACATTCATTCGATCATCTTCCTTCATGGAAAAAACACATACTCATCCGATTCTCCCAAATAACACTCCAGTTAACGGAACAACCTGGAATTACAAACACCAATGATTAACTTTCTGTCTTTAAACGTCCGAGGTCTCAATTCACCTTATAAACGGTCATTACTGTCCAGAGAAGCACGGAAGTCACGAGCGGACATACTCTTCATACAGGAAACACACTTTGCTGCTAACAAATCGCCCAAATTATACCTTCACCGATTCTCTCAAATATTCATGGCAACTAACACCACTAAGAAAAATGGAGTGCTCACGGCCATAAATGACTCTCTTTCATTCCGCATTATTTCACAGACAGCGGATCCACAAGGACGCTTCCATATTTTAGTGTGCCAAATAAATGACAAAACCCACACTCTAGTAAATGTTTATGGCCCAAACTGCAAACAGTTACGTTTCTACCGGAAACTTTTCAAAACCATCTCCTTACATAAACAAGGGAAACTTATAATTGGTGGCGATTTTAACATTTTGGGGAATTCGGATATAGACTCATCTTCCACTACCATACATACTAAACCTACTTTTAACCAATTTCTTCACGACAATGACCTCTATGATATTTGGAGATGTCAACATGGCTCTGAACGGGACTATACATACTACTCCCCTCCGCATCTTTCCTACTCACGAATAGACATGTTTATAACAGACAAATGGACACTACAACAAGTGACATCATCCAAGATAGGGACCATTACCTGGTTCGACCATGCTCCGATCCAAATATCCTTGGTAGACGATCAAAAAACAGCATTATCACCTATCTGGAGACTCAACTCTGCTCTTTTAGCTACACCAGAAAATTTAAAGCACATCCAAGAAGCTCATGAACTTTTCTTTGATATTAACTCCACCCCTGATATATCCATTACCACGCTCTGGACGGCTTACAAGGCCTACATGAGAGGTATCCTCATCCAATTAAACTCCCGCATTAAGAGGCAACGGTCTCAACAAATTGACCAACTTATGACTTCTATCCGCCTTAATGAAAAACTGCACAAAACAACACCCAAACCCAGCCACAATGGCGACCCTAAACTCTGATAGAAATAAATTACGAACCATTTTTCTACAGGCATATGACGCCAATCTGCAAAAAAAAACAAAAACCAGATTTTATGCGCTAGGTAACAAAGCTAACTCACTCCTTAGCAAGACTATTAAACAAAAACGACTTAAAACCAAGATAGCCACAATCCGACACCCTACCTCACAAAACATTCTGACAAACCCACAAGACATTGCCAACGCTTTCGCGGCCTACTACCAGACACTGTATAACCTAAAAGACGACCCTGATACAATTCAGCCAACAGCACAATCGATCGAACAGTTTTTGCTTAACACTAATCTTCCGCGCTTAAATCATTCCCAACTTGCATCAATCTCTGTACCGATTGACCCTCCTGAGATAGAGAGAACTATACGCACTCTGCCTTTAAACAAATCTCCTGGAAATGATGGCTTCACCAATGAATATTACAAAGCACTAGCCCCCAAACTCACTCTACCACTAGCTCTACTATATAACCATGCCGCTACTAGTGGGGAATTTCCCCAAGAAATGCTGCAATCAATAATTACTACCATTCCGAAGCCTGGCAAAGACCCTCAATTAGTACAGAACTACAGACCAATTTCACTTCTCAACACAGACATAAAGATATACGCTAAGATAATAGCCTTGAGACTACTTCCCTACCTACCAACTTTAATTCACCCAGACCAAGTAGGATTTATTCCTGGTAGACAGGCCCCTGACGCCACAAGACGAATCTTATCCTTAATACACCACCTTGAATTAAATCCCCAACCCTCGCTTCTACTATCGCTTGATGCAGAAAAAGCGTTCGACCGCATTCACTGGCAATTCATGCTACATACCCTGCAAAAAATTGGAATATCAGATTGGATGTTGTCAGCCATAATGTCCCTTTACTCTAGACCCTCCGCCAAAGTATTAACCAACGGCACGCTTTCTCAACCTTTCTATATCTCAAACGGAACTAGACAAGGATGCCCACTATCCCCTATAATTTTTGCTCTTCTTATTGAGCCACTAGCAACCAACCTTAGAAAAGACCCTCACTTTACAGGATTTAAGTTCCTAAAAACCGAACACAAGATTAGTCTCTTTGCAGATGACATCATACTAATGGTCACTAACCCATACAAATCCCTCAACACAATACAAATGCACATCCAAAATTATACATCAGTATCTTACTACAAACTTAATGCACCGAAATCTTCCATACTAAATCTTCACACACCTGCGAACACCCAAAAACCTTATTTCCAAGCACTTCCCCTTCACTTGGGAAAGACTTGCTATTCCGTACCTAGGAATTAAACTCACTCCAAAGACTAACCAATTGTATAATACTAACTTTAAACCGCTGCTTGAATATATCCCACAAGAGATTAAAGGCCTACGCACTACTACCCTCTCGACGTTAGGTAGAATAGCTACACTTAAAATGTGTATCTTACCCAAGATACTCTACATCTTCAGAACACTCCCTATCCCAATTTCTCATATCTTTTTTACCAAACTTCAGACAATTCTAAATCAGTTCGTATGGAACTCAAAAAAGCCTAGATATGTTACGAATCTTCTAATTCGCCCTCCCTCCAGAGGTGG